GGAACCACCACATTTGTACCTTATTATTGTAGTGGCTGGTTTGCTGAGGCGTAGCAGGAACCTGTTGTGAGAAGCATGGTGGACAGCGTTTGGGTGAGGATCAATGATGTCAGAAATGGAAATGATGCTCTTGGAGGGGTGGGGTACCGACCAACTGAACAGAAGGAGGAGGACTTGGGGAACATCCCAAACTTGGTACAGAAGAATGATATAGTAGTAATGGGGGATTTCAGTTCTTGGACACCAGCTGGTCCTGACTCAACCAAAACCAGAGCAGTGAGCAAATGGTCCACTTGCTTAGATGATCTTTCCAAAATAGAGGAAGTGAATGGGCAAATATTATTCTGTTTTTTTTTTTTTGGTTTAGGCAATGGGGTTAAGTGACTTGCTCAGGGTCACACAGCTAGTAAGTGTTATGTGTCAGAGGCCGGTTTTGAACTCAGGTCCTCCTGAATCCAGAGCCGGTACTCTATCCATGGCGCCACCTAGCTGCCCCTGGCAAATATTATTCTGGATCCTGTTCTACCCAACAAGGAGGAATTGTCTGCTGAGGTAGAAGTGACAGGGAGGGAAGAAAAAGCCCGTAATAGTGTTTGTGATCGAGGGGAGAGAAAGCATGAATGATCTGACACAGAACCTCTATTTGGGGGGAGCAGTGTTTAAAGAGTTCAGAAAAAAAGAATAGAATTCTACAGGGAAAATCAACCCTGGAGGGAACAGCTCTCAAGAATGAAACACTGAAGAGATAAACAGAAAAGGAATCTGATGAAGAAAAAAGAGGAGAGTTTCTTCTGTGTACTCACCGGGATCTCACAGATAAACTCAGAAAAGATGCATGCGTAGGTGGAGACGAGGGCATGCAGAAGGTAAGAGCTACATCAGGAGCTCTGAAACTCAGAATGAGTTGAGGTAGATGGTACATGCTAGCTACCAACAGAAGGGCATTTTGTTTTGTTTAGGCTGGTTGGGGAGAAGAGAAAGATCAGAGGGGGAGGACCAGTTGCTCTATGTGGATGGGAATAATGATGATGATGGAGGATGGTGACAAGTTCAAACTACTTCACTATTGTTTTCCTTCTTTTCTCTTTTAATAATAGAACAATGAGGAGTAGAAGGGAAAAGTGACCCATGGCAATAATGCGGATAATGTGACCTTTATTGGCTTGCTCCTTCCGGGCCAATGACTTCATCGTTGCAGGAAATGTCTAGATAGGCGTTCCTCTGTCGGATGTAGTCGTAGAGAGTTTACCTGGGACTCTTAAGTGACCAGCCTGGGTCACTGGCTAGCCTTCACTAGAGGCCAGAGTGCAAGGCCATGCTGCCTTCCCCCTGGCCACCAATATGCTTCCTTCTCTTTTCTTCCTGAGTCTTTCTCTTTCTTTAAAACTCAGCCCAGGTACCAACCGTTCACAGAGACCTATGGGTTGTCTGCCATTAGTTCTGTCTCCTTGAAGAAACGTTGATTATGATGATGATGATGATGATGAAGATGAAGATGAGTAGTACTAGCATCCCTTGTATCTTTCCAGTAGAATGTCAGCTACCTGAGGGTAAGGATTTGGTTTAGTCTTTGTGGTCAGTCAGGCAATCAACATTTATTAAGCACCTGCTATGTACTAGGCCTTGTGCTGAGCACTTGGTATCTCCAGGGCCTAACACAGGGGCTTGTGTATAGGAGCTATTTCCTGACACTGGTAAAATTGAAGTGCTTTTCCTAATTAGGTTGTAGTATGAGAATTCACAGCTGAAGCAGCCTTCTGTAAGAGGCCATTCCCAATCCCCCAGGCCATCTAAGTACCTTTTCCTTGCCCTGCTACCTTGTCTATACTTACCTATACCTATATGTGTGCATGTTTTCTTTCTGTTCCTATTTTACCCATGGGATGTGAAGTAGGAAAGAAGCACACATGGGCAGGCACTGTGCGGAGTCCTCTTTACAAACATCCGTTTTGATTCTCATAGCAACCGCCCTGGGAGGGAGGGGCTATTGTTATTTTGTTATTAAGAATATTTTACAGATGAGGAAACTGAGGCAGATTGCAGTGGTTAAGTGACTTGCCCAGAGTCACACAGCTAGGAAGTATCTGAGGTTAGATTTGAACTCAAGTCCTCCTACCTCCAGGCTGGGCACTCCATGCACCCTGGCACACTCTAGCCATTTCATTCTGATTTTTTTTTTATCCTCCTTACTCAGCATAGTAGGTGGAACACAGTAGGGACTTAATGAATGATTGTTCATTGGCTGATTATCAATTACATAGCATTGGAAGATTTGCAAAGCAGCGAGGCATCATGGTAGGAAGCTGCTGCTATTATCCCATTTTTATGGTTGAGGAAACTGAGGCACCTGTGAGGTTAACACTTCTGAGATTAAGTGATTTGTTCAGTGTACCATAGCTCTCAGGTCTTCCTCACTCCAGGTCCAACGATCTATCTGATTACTGCCTGGATATACGATGTTTGGGGGATGGGGTGATCACAACTCGGGGGTCAAGAAAGGTCCCTTAAAAGGTAGCTTTGAGCTGGGACTTGAAGGGGGAAGGGCTCACCAAAAGCAGACAGAGCAGAAAGTGGAGAACATTCCAGGCCTGGGGATGGTTCTCACGAAGACAGAGAAAAGAGCCTCATGTACCTGGAAGCACAAGTTAGCCAAGAGAGGAGTTTGTACCTTATCCGAAAGGCAGTTGGGAGATGCAGAAGCTGCTAGACCACAGAAGGAACATGTCAGACATGTACTAAAGTGAAGAATGCCTGCTTCGCAGCTGTGGTTCAGAGGGCAGGGACAGGAGAGCCTGGGTGGAGGAAGGCTATTATTGCAACTGTCCTCTGAGAGGTCTAGGGTGTGTGAATGAGGGTGAAGGATGTGTGAGCTAGGGTGGGGGATGTGTGAACTGGAGTGGGGGATGTGTGAGCTGGGGTGGGGGATGTGTGAGCTGGGGTGGAGGATGTGTGAACTGGGGTGGGGGATGTGTGAGCTGGGGTGGGGGATGTGTGAGCTGGGGTGGAGGATGTGTGAGCTGGGGTGGGGGATGTGTGAGCTGGGGTGGGGGATGTGTGAGCTGGGGTGGAGGATGTGTGAGCTGGGGTGGAGGATGTGTGAGCTGGGGTGGAGGATGTGTGAGCTGGGATGGGGGATGTGTGAGCTGGGGTGGGGGATGTGTGAGCTGGGGGAGGATGTGTGAGCTGGGGGAGGATGTGTGAGCAGTGTGGTTGTGGTATAAGGCACAGGAGGTGATGCCTGTGAGAGAGACAGGAATTAGAATTGACAAGACTTGGCAAGAGATTAGATGTTGGTGGCAGGCAGAGAAAGTGAAGCTGGTGATGAAGACACTTGTAGGTCCAGAGCTTGGGTGATGGCAACAATGGTGGTACCTAAACAGAAGCAGGGAAGTTATGTTGATATAACCTATGAGCCGACCAAGCAGAAATATCTAGCAGTTGGAGATGCACTACTAGGGCTTATTAGAAGGGAGCTGAATGTAGAATCTTGGGAGTCATCTGAAATTTGAATGGAGGAGAGCTATCACTGAGAGTGCAGAGAGAGAGAAGAGTGGAGGGCCCAGGACAGAGCGTTGGAACACACCTGTGAAGAAGAGGAGGCGAATGACCTCCAAAAGAGACCAAGAAAGAACAATTAATGCATAGAAGGAGAACCATGGTGGAGTGATGTCATGAAAACCGAGGGAAACAAGACCGTCCTGAAGCAGAAAGTGGCCAGCAATGCCAGATGCAGCAGAAGGATCAAGAAGGATGAGGACTGAGAAAAGAACATCAGGGACTTTGGAGAGGGCACGTCCAGCTGAGTACTGGGAAGAGAAGCCAGATTCTGAGGGTGTGAGCAATGAGTGGGAGGTAAGAGAGTGGGGCTTTTTTGAGGAGTTTGGCTATAAAATGGGGAGGAGGGATCTCAGAATGATAGTTTGAGGGGATAGTAGGGTAAATTAAAAAAATTTTTTGAAGTGTGGGAGGTATGGTGGTGTTTTTAGGCATTAGGGCAAGAACCAGCACACAGCTGTTGAAAATGAAGAGGAGGAAAGGATAAATGGAGAATCTGGGAGGAGTTGGTTCAGTGGATGAGTAGAGGGTTGGTGTTTAGCTGAAGAAGGCAGGAGGGGCACAAGCTTGGGGGATGATGCCACATCCACAGCCACGGAATCACCCTTGGATATATACTTACCTTACCCCCTGCCCAATTAGTTGTCAAATCTTATAGTTTTTACTTCCACAATATGGAGGTAACTCCACAAATTGTCCTCCCTTTCCCCTTGCCTCACTACAATCCATTCTCTCTTCCCTTCTGCCTTGTACAATCCCTTGTTTCCTCTGAAACTCAGTCCAGATGCCAACTTCTACACTCGAGTCTTCCTGATTACATTAATTACTAGTTCTGTCTGCCTCCTGAAAGTACTCTGTATATAGCTTGAGTTTACTTCTCAGAAGAAATGTCATATCACCCCCAATCCTCCCCACTCCCAAGGAGAATGTATGATCTTTGAAGGTAGGGATTGTTTGATTTGGGCCATGGGCACATAGTAGGCACCTAGCATATGTGTATTGTATTGAATTGAATTGAATCATCTGTCACAAGCTTTTAAGAGGTCGTCATCTCTTCCTTCCGAGGATTCCATTATTTCTCTTTCAGCAACAAGTTCCTCCTTGTGAGTCAGAATTGTGTTAATCATTGAATTCCTTCTGTGGCTTCCTCTACCGTTTGGAGAATGACGTAGTTAATGTATGTCAGAAGGGACGCCCTTGAAAAGATGGGGCACAAGTGTGATAAGTAAGAGTGTCTGCAAAGAATTTTGGAACCCCTAAACACAACTAACATGTGAGCTCTTGGAGTAATAATTCTAATTAAATAAACTGTGAACGCTCCTGCAAAGCTTATAACTGTCCTCTTGGATAACGCGATCGAATAGCTCATGGAACAGATGTGTGGTAGGGTTGGCTTAGACTAGACATGGTGTCTGTGTTCACCCAGTGCTACTCTTTTCTTCTAGGTTGGCCGCTCACGGAGGGCAGTTGAACATTACATGCCTGTGCTTTCTCCTCATCCTCCAGTTGCTCCAGAAGTGAACCATGGATCATGTGTTGTGATTGATCAAATGTATTCTAGTACTTTAAAGCTGGTGAGTCTTATGAGTGGTGCTTAATGCCCAAATGGATCCACCTGTGAGTTGTAAAGATTATCAGAATATTTGGGAGAAATGGTGGTCGATGCAAAGAAGACTGATTCTGCAGTCAGAGGACCCAGAGACCAAAATCCCACTGATGTTGCTTCCTCTCTGTGTGACCCTGGGAAAGTCCCTTGGTTTCTTCATCTTTAGAATGAAGAGGTTGAGCTCAGTGGCCTCTGAGGTCCCTTGTGGTCGTGTGCTCCCTAAATTCCACTCCTAATATCTCAGTAATATCATTCTAAAATTGGGCAGATTTTGCCATGCTAGAAAGGCTTTGAGTTGAGCCCAGCATTTCCAAGCCTCCCCATAGGAGCACTGCATTTATGCTCAGGGAACCCAGGGAAATCTAACCTCTGCCTCCTTTTGACCTGAGACAAGTCACTAAACCTCTCTGGGCCTCAGTTTCCTCTTTTGTAAAACAAAGGGAGTGTACTAGATAGTGCTGAGGTTTCCTTCCAGCTGCAGGTTTCTGATCCTGGGATCCAGTTCCAATTCCTGTCCCTGTAAACAGACCTCCTAGTCTGATGGAGAGTCTGCATTCCTGACACAGCCTGGCTAAGTGAGCCCACAGTCATTCAACCTCTCAGTGCCCCAGACAGTTCTCCAAGAATTTGCTAGGGGAAGGCCGTGATTTGAAGCCTGCAGCTAGGAAATCACACCAGGGGTCTAATATCAACCTAACTGTTTTTACCTGCAATGAGAAATCCTTATCTAATGACGAAAAAGGAAGTGGAGAAAGCCATCATGTCCATCCTGACCTTTTGTTATACACGAGACCCGAGGACATTGACAGGAGGAGAATCTGAGTGCTGAGGGTGAAAATGATGAGAATCTGGTGGGAAAGGGATCATCCCTGCTGGCCCTCTCAGCATCTGTGACAGGGACCAAGAGAGCTGTGATCTGAGGGAAAATAGATTGAATCCAGTTGTGAACCCTTGATCTTTACCTATTTAAACACATTGTTGATGCTTAAAATTGGGAAATGCATAAATAGCTCACACACACACACACACACACACACATGCACAGAGGAATCAACAGAGATCAGCACCACTACCTAATTACATTTAATTGTCCTCATAGCCAACAGAACAAGAGTTCAGAAACCTCCTCATCAGATCTCCTCGCCAAAGTGAGAAACAAGGCAGCCATTCGTAATATAATAATTCATTCATAAAAGCAGCTTCTGGATAAAATTTTATGGAGGAAAATTGTGGAAGATGATAGAGAACATTCTTTCATAGAACAGTAAGAATCAAGGGAGGGGAAAACAACTTTGCAGAAAAATGTAGAGGGAGAATCAGTGATGCCAGGTCAACCAGAAGTCATTTAGGAATGAAGTCAGGAAGGGGGTAACAAATGCACGAATGATAGAAAAGATCTGAGGTTTCTTCAACAGACCCTTTTATCCGTCAATGGCAATGGAGCCATCACATTGGGACTCCAGTGCAAGGATGCTACAGGGGGAAAATTAATTCTGCTAAAGAAAAGGGAGACGGGAAGAGCGGCTGGATGGTGCCAAGTGCTCCTAAAGGAGATCTGTGCTAGAGGAAACACAGCTTTGAAGGAAATAAGTCTTGATTCTCAAGATATCTGCCAGATATCCAAAGATCAGGAAAAATCACAGACCTCATTACTGGGAAAAAAGCAAATAAGAACATCTAACTCCCAACCCAAAGGCCTACCTTCCCATACCTTACAGCGTGTCTCACTTCCTTTTCTGTCCCTTCCCCGCCAAGGAGGGAGTGAGGGAGGAAAAGGAAGAGTATCCCCCCTCCAATACGCTAGGTAGCTCAGTCCTGTCTCTTCACCACCCCTATGAAGGAAAGAGACTGAGACATGGCGGCGTCTTAGCCCCTTCACATTCCACTTGGCTCTATCTCAGCCACACCTGAGTCAGTTCACCCAGCTCCAGAGCCCAACAGAAGATGTTTGTTAACAGAACCCACTCCTCAGCACATGTAGTCAGAAACAGATTCCAGTAGAGCTCCTACTTGGTTACTTGGTTACTTTTGTTGGAACCAAGCTTTAAGCACCATCTCTCCCACTGGTCAGCCCACCCCACCCCATCCCACCCCATGTATAGCACGTGTATAAATGTAGAACTCATGCATCTATAATTACATGTGTATGAATAGATGTGCAATGTAATATAATGCATATATTTACATATGCATTGTGTAATATGCTCTATGTCTCTATTTACATATGTAGAAACAGATGCATATGCTATGTGTTTATAGAGATATGCTATAAACATGCCAATTTGTGTTAGAGTCTGTGGAACAAAAACAATCCTCTAGGATAATACAAGTTTCAGAGTTGTAATGACAGAGATTTCCTACATCACGATTGCAGGGGCTTGTAATTTGACTCATAAAAATGAAACTGAAGAATCCAAAATTGATTGATCTGTAATTCTAATTGAGATTTTTTTTAACCAGCTTCGTGGTTATTGTTTGTAGCCAATTTGGTTGTGAAATGAAATTCTATACATAGACAGCTGTTTTTAATGGTTGCTTTTATTAAAAACAAAAAAAATAAGACAAGTTTGAGGGTTCATGGCTAATAACATCTGCTGCGTTCATTTCAATCTGCTGTCACCATCTTTTTTTTCTTTTTCCTGCTATTGTGCCTCTGAGACAGAATGTGCCTTTTTATGTAGAGGTGAATGGGAGCTTCTGGAGGCCAAGGCTCCTTCTTTTTTGTTTTATTTTGGGGGGGCTTATTTCATACCGGCAGCACCTAGCATAGTGTTTGGCAGATATTGGATCCTTAATTGATTGCTTGTTGAATAAAATCAATTAAGCATGAGCCTTTGGGTCATTCTTAGACTCCTCCTTATGTGTCTCCCAGGAAGATGGCCAGGGAGGATGTGTGGAACGTTTGGATAAAGGAAGCTGGGCTCAATTTCCGGCTATAATCTAGACTTGTATGTCACTATAGCCTTGAAAATCTTCTCTTGAAAATGGAGGCTTTGTTCTTCATTCAAAATTATACTTTCTAGGAATGTTCCCTAAGGGCTTATATGTGCTAGGTGCTGCCACTGTGTGTGAGAGAGAGGCATAAGTAGATCTGTGCTTCAGGAACTCCTGAAGGAAGAGAGATTGGATTGGAGAGAGACCTATGCTATGGAGGACAAGGAGAAGAAATTGCCATGGTCCAGAAGGGAGGAGATTGGACCTGATTTAGAGTACGAACTCTGTGCATGGAGAGGAGACCTATGGGGCTATTTTGTGAAGGTGGAAAGGACAAGATCAGTAACAGATTGGATTTGTGGGATGAGGACAAAGAATGAATCAGCAACGGCTTTGAACTTTAGACCCAGCTTTGACTGAAACAGTGGTGGAGAGTTTGGAAAAGGGGAGGATTGGAGAGTAAAGATGATGGCGGAGTTTAAGAGCTCTACAAGATATTTAGCTCCAGATGTCTACAAGGCATTTGTGAGGTTGGTGGTCAGGAGAGAGACTGGGTCTGGAACTGATCAGCACAGAGATGATCATTGAACCCATAGTACAGATTTATTGCCCCATCCTCCCCCTGATATATGTTCAAACTCAGGTCTCTGCAGCTTTGAGGCTGCAGGTACCTTTGCTCAGGGCTGCACCAGGACTCGCTATGGCAGGATTCCTCTGAGGTCTTTAAAATAAAATCAAAAGCCTAATCATGAGGAAATAGGCTAATGGATTCATTATTTGTATTCTCCATTGAAAAGCTTAAAACAATTATAAAATTAGAGTTGGTTGGGGGTGTGTTTAGAGCATCATCTGATAGGAGGTAGGGGAGGTTATGGCCAAAGAGCGAGGCTGTTAGAGTTTGAGGTTCACAGGGGTCATGGTGGGTACACAAACCTTATTGGGAGTAATAGGAACTGTGCCTTAGTGTTTTGTTGACTTCCTTGGCTAAAGTTATTAGTTGCTTGGAGGTAGCTAAGGATACCTTAACCAAAGGAATACATCTCCAGAATTGCGCCATCTTTGCTAACATTGGTATGGTGATTCCCAGTTGGCTCATTTTTTGTATTATGCTGTGAAATCCAATAGTCTATTTCCTCATTGCAATGATTTCTGGCTTTAGGCAATGTTTACAGAAGAAGTGGAATGTTCTGGCCCATAGTACCAGGAAAAGCAAGGGGAAACTGAGAAAAATCAAATGGGCTTGAGCCCTTGATGAAGAACCCATCACATCATGTAAAACCCAAGACCTCTACTCCTCAGCTCCCTTCTAGGCCAGCCAAATCTGTGTATGTTTGTGGAGCCTTCAATCAGCCACTAGGCAGGAAAGAGAGCCAATTCTCAGCCACCCAACCCAGCATGAATTTAGGGTCGTTACTTGGGGTGGGAAGGGGACAAAAGAGAAATCTCTTGAAAAATGATATTTCTGCCTCTTCCCCTGACCCCTCCCATTTTTTAGCTGAAAACCTTTGGTGAATATTCTGTGTTCTATCTAGGAGGTTAGCAAGTGTTGGGAATCTGAAAATAATTGAAAAATTATGGAAAATACAAGCTTGGACTGTGAGGGTCTCCTAGCACCAAATCGAGACTGATTTACTTCTCTGATGGCTCCAAGCAACTTTTCTCTTTATGCTGAGACCCAATGGGACTCCCTGGAGCTTCAGCAAGGCCAGCTATTCACTAATTGTCTCCTCAGCTATCTGGGGACCCGAGGGCTGTCTTCCCCAAGTCCCAGCGATCCAGGCCGACCTAAGCAAGGGGTCCTTGACCAGTCCTGTATGTATGGTGAAGCCTCTGGGCTACTTCTCCGAATGAAATTTTTGACTATATAAGCCAAAATTCATAGGATTCCAAAGGACACCAACCTCTCCATGCTCTAGGCAATTCTTGAGGATTATAGATGGCAGAGAGGTTGTAGAACAGCTTTGGCCGAGGGCGTTACTTCCCCGATGAGTTCCGTCCATTATAGAAACTCTAAGTACAATCTTATGTGTGTGT